CTCAGAAAACTCTGACAGGCTGAGCAGAGTAGGGAGGGCCCCTGGGACCAGGACCTGGCTAATAAAAGAGAGAAGAGAAGAGACTTGATAAAGACTAGCAGAAGGCAGATTGGTGGGATGTTAGCCAAAAAATACATTTCATTTAGGCAGGAGAAATAGATTTAGGAGGCCTCTTATACAACACAATGACTATATTAATAACCGTGGACAGCAGTCCTGTGGTATCCATAAGGAACTGGTCCTAGGAATTCTCATGGTTAACTGAACCCAAGGATGCTTAAGTTCTTCATATAAAATTATGTAGTATTTGCATAAAACCTACCTACATCCTCCTCATACTTTAAATCATCTCTACATATAATACCTAATATAATCTAATGTAACAATCATGTTACTAGTTATTATAGCATATTATTTAGGGAATATTGACATGAAGAAGAATCTCTATATGTTCAGAACAAACACAGTTTTTTAAAAAATATCTTCAATCCACAGACACAGAAATCCAAGACAAGTATTGCACTTGAAAATAACTAAGAGAGACTTTAAGTGATCTCACCACCCAAAAATGATAAGCATGTGCTGTAATACATATGTTAATTTGCTAGATTTAACTATCCCACAGTGTGTGCATATTTCAGAGCATCGGTTGTACACTGTAAGTATACACAAGCTTTGGCAACTGAAAGATTAATTTTTGTAAAGACTGATGTCAGCACATGACGCATAGGGAAGACTTCAGGGGGCCCCTGGGCCACCACTAACCTGGTAGGGGCTTCTTTGGTCCCACTTCTTCTGAACTAAGCCAAAGACCACCCAAGGCCCTGTACCTCAAGCACAGGGTCTCAGGATGGGGAGCCTAAGCAGGATAACGTGTTCCTGTTCCAAGAAGAATCTTTTTTTCCAGAGAGGTCACAGCCGAGAGAGCAAAAGCACCTGACCAAACCCAGCAGCTGTGCCATGGAGAAATTAAACCCCAGCATCCCCAGAACTCCACTTCTCTGCTCTGGCCTACAGAATCCTCTCTTGTCTGGACTGCCTTTCACTCTGGATATAACATAGAGCAAGAGATGAGGAAAGTTAATTTTTTTTTTTTTTCAAAAAACTAGTGAAAAAACATTCCAAGGCACAAACTAATGGGCTAGTGATAAAGTACACAGAGTGAAGCAAGTAGGCTCAGAGACTGAAAAAACACCAACCTGCATGATCAGCAGGGAACCAACACAGGGAAAGAGCATTACTGGGCACTGAGCTCCCATCAGTTCAGAGAAGTGGGAAGCCTGGTCTTATGGTACCTTGCTAATGAGCTATGAGTAATGTAAAAGGTGCAGAGTGCTATGGATAGTGAGATTCTGAAACCTGCAATACCTTCCATCCAACTCCTACGTAAAGCCACAAAGTCCACCATGCACAGTTCAAGGGAGACTGGGAAGCAGGAAAACCAGGAAACAGAGGTACATTCATTACAAATAGGTTCCCCTGTGAACTGAGTCCCAAATCAGTAGCAAGGAACTGGAAGAAGGTAGGTTCTCTGTTTCTTAGAAAATGCGTGTGAGAGCATTTTAGGAGATCAAAAACTTGCCATAAAATTTAGTAGTTCGTATTTTGGGGCTGTGGAAAGAAACTCTGCCCAACTGAACCTCAAGACCAGATTCATTCTGCCAAAAAAATGTCCACCAACATAATCACATCCTTCCAAGCCCGTTTCAGTGCATCCCCTTTCATGAAGGGACTTAAGCTTCCAAAATGTTTAGTATCCTTTTCTGAATCTTTCATAGTTCCTTGTACATTTTCCACGGCATCTGCATTCTGTTTTGTATTGGCTATTTGTGGACCTACGATGCCCTTGGGGTGGGTCTGCCCCTCCTCCATTCAAAGCATCCTGCTTAGCCAATCACTGGTGAGTGGAGCAAATCAAATCCATGTTCTCTGATGGCAAAATAACTTAATATTTTAGGAGTTTCCACCACCAAAGGTACCTAATTAATAAACAACGAGTATCAAATGTCTTAGGGAAACGTACCTTAAAACAGGTTGGGGACATGGGGTGTCTACTAAGTTACTTCCACACTCATAATAAGAGCTGAAAACATTTTCTAGAAGTTCACTCTAATTGCTTTCAAAACTCCAACTTGATTAATCCCATGGCAATTTAGGACAATGGGTAATTTCAAATTAGGACAATGGGTAATTTCAAATTAGGACTATGGGTAATTTCAAATGATATTCCTGCATACCTATTAGAAAGTACATATTAACTGGGTCACTCATTTGCATTTCTGAAGAACTATGAAATCAGACTTACAAGCAGCTAATGAAATTAATAGCAAGGGGCTAGAGACATAGCTCTGTGGTATGGTGTGTGCACTTAGGGTGTGCAAGGCGCTGGCTTCAATCTCCAGCCCAGGAGGGAGATGAAAAGCAAGAGGGGGAGGGGAGGAAGACAAATTAATGGCAAGCTTCTACTGACCAATAATCTTATAATCTTTCAAGGCTGACTCAACCGTGCAGTTACAGAATTGACTAAAAACATGTCCTAGTCGTGGAAGTATATTGGTTTTGCCTGCCTAAAGTCTGTGATCCCTCTGCATAATAGTACCTATATGGGGTTTTCTTAGTATTGTCCTGATAATTCTCTTTCATTTACATGGAGTTTACCTAAGTCTCTGGTTGCAAGAATAGACGCAAGGTCAATACATGACCTTAATATACCAACACTCAGACACAGTGATAGTCTTAGGGACAGGAAGATGGTCTACTTAAACATTTCCAGTTAGAGTAGTCTGATAATATGCTTAAACTATTGGCAAACGTGTCCTTTTTTTTTTTTCCTCTTAGGAATGTTCAACTGAAATGAATCAAATCTAGATGTACTGGTGTCTTTCTGTACCATTGCCTGGATGAAGCTAGCTGAGCAGAAAAGAGAGACTGATTCCTCACGGCTCAATTGTGAGCACCTAGATTAAACCAGGCCTGAAGTTCCTAGACCTTTCAGTTAAATAAGACAACCAGTTCCCTTTTCTCATTTATATCTTATTGTAACTGGGTTTATATCACTTGTAGCTATGACCCCTGACTAATATAGCAGAGATGATAATATAATGGTAGCTGCCATTTACTGAGAACCTAGTATGTGTCGAAGCTATACCTATACCTGTACCTGTACCTCTACCTGTGCCTGTGCCTATATCTATATCTATATCTATTTGTAGTTTCTTAAGTGTCACAACTAGAGAGACAGTTATTATCGACAGACTTTTCTGGTGAAGAAAGTAAGATTCAGAGAGATGACTGTTTCCTCCAAGGAAGTGGCAGAGCTGAGATTTGAATTCACATCATCCTGCCTCTGGAATCTATAGCCTGGTCTCTGTACTAGGCTGTCTTGTCAAAGAAGGGTCATCAGCTACATATTTATATCAGGAAGTAAAGATTCTTCCCAGGCATGCCTGGAATGTCACCAATTATATCAAAATAAAATGCCATTATTTCCAAAAGAACCATCCTTTTAATCTTCCAAATCTTTCTCAGACTTGCCCATCATGCTGGTTTTTCACAAAAATCCTTTGCTGTGTTACGTGACTTCAATATCCAACAAGGAAGTCTAGGCTTCTTTGCCCCTCCAGAGGAAGATCAAGGAAGAAAGTTATAAGTGACATCCTCTGTTTGGCTGTGTGGATTGGTACCCTTGGAACATGAGGATCAAGGTTCTATTACATGGCCAAAAGAGAGACAAAAATTCTCCTCTGATATCAAGGCAATTTAGCAGGTCATGAGTCCCATCTCAATACTAGAGCTGAAACCCAAGGAGATCGTGCTTGGGCAAGCACCTGGCTGCCCAAGCCAGGGGAAGTGTGAGTCAGCCCCACTGGAGACTTGGCCATCTTCAGCAGGAAGATTATTGAGGATTATTGGAGATTAAGGTAAAGGGGAAACACAGGATCTTTAATCCCATGTCTCACGCATGAGAAGGAATGCCCTTTTTGAGAGATCCACCTGCTTTGCAAAATTGAACACAATTTACAGAGGAGTCTACCGTTGCCCTGGGGCAGTGCTCTGTAGAAGCAGGTGGCAAAAGCGAAGACCAAACGCATCCCTCTCTCTAGAATGTCATTCTTACTTCCCTGGTCAAATTCAGGTGGGTCTGGAACGAAGAACCTCAAGCCTCTGCTGCTCTGGCTTACTGCCTCAAAAGTAATGGATTAAAGAGATGTAGGAGAGGAAGTGAAAGAAGGGCAAAGCCTGGAAGAAAGAGATCACCAGCCCTGACTCAAAGTCAAGGATACTGCGGACTTAGCAGAGCTTCCACCTGTGCTGTTTCTGGCTCAAAAACCAACTCCCAGAGCTGTAGATAGAAGCCCTGGGCCTCGGGTATTCAGAGGACATAAATGTGATTTGTCAAATGGCAGCCCTCAGGTGGCAGCTGTAGACATGAATGGCCTTTACTTTTCTAACTGTCAGATTAAGCTTGTCATTTAATTACAATAATCATGCACGAATCTATTTTGCTTGGAGCTGGGGATGCAGCTCGGTGATACAGTGCCTGCCCAGCATACCCAAGTCCCTGGGTTCTGTCCCTAGCACCACTAAAAAGTAATTAAAATGAACATTTTTACATAAGGCTCAAGTCCTCCTTGACCACCACTCCAGTTCCACCTTTTCAAGTAGCCCAAGTGAGGAACATCATCTTCCAGACATGTATGTGCCCCTAAATGCCCACAGGAACTTTGTGGTGTTTTTGTGTTAATATGCCATATCACATAGGTGGTACGCTATGTGCTGATGAATTCCCTTTTTCCCTTAAAAATGATATCTTGAGGGCCAGGAATATAGCTCAGTGCCACAAGCACTTGCCTTGGAAGTGCAAGGTCCTGAATACTGGTACCAAAAAAATAAATAATTTTTAAAAAAATTTTTAAAATGACATCTTGGGGTGAAAAAACACTCAATAATTTTAGTCATCAGGGAAATGTACATTGCGATTCCATCTCACCCTGGTCAGAATGGCTGTCATCAAGAATGCAAGAAACACTGAATGCTGGCAAGGATACAGGAAAAGGGAACTCTTCTACGTGGTCGGTGGGAATGTAGGTTAGTGCAGCCACTATGGAAGTCATGCGCTCATTTAAAAATAAAAATATCTCATGGATCCAGCCGTGTTAAAGAACTCTGATACCTTCCTCCTGGTCTTTTTGAAATAGAATCATGGATAGCTTGTCCTTGGCATTCATATATTCAAAGAACTTTGGATCAAAAATTTTTAAAAATTGCATTTGAGGACTGGGGATGTAGCTCAAGGGCAGAGAGCTTGCCTAATATGTGCAAAATCCTGAGTTGAAGCCCCAGTACCAAAAGAAAACAAAAAAATTGCATCTCTACTAAGACAGAGTATAGCTTAGTGGTAGACTACTTACCTCGTATGTTTAAGATCCTGGCTTCAATCCCAAATTCGGAAAAAAAAAACTGCATCTGTACTGAATCTGTGCAGATCTTTGTTCTTGTCATTATTCTTTAAGCAATGCAGTAAAATAACTGTTTGTGCTGCATTTACACAGCATTCGGTATTATAAGCCATCTATAGGTGATTTAAAGTGTAGGATAGGATTGCATAGGTTATATATAAATTCTACATAGCCATTTCATGTAAGGAATTTGAGCATCTTCATATTTTGTTATCCTTACAACTGAGGGAGTCCTGGAACAAACCCGTACACCTTTCCCACAGATGCCAAGGTATAACGGTGTAATGAAACTGAGCTGCACTGGGCAGGCTTCCCACACACCTATCCAGTTTCTGCTCTATCTTTCTCCCTCAGGTGGACTGACATTCCTTCACCAAGCTTGATCCTCCAGGAGGTGCCAGCTTTAGTCTTAGGTAGAGATAAAGGGACATGCCGGTTGTGGCCCATGGGTGTCTACTCTCTAGCACCTGTGAAAATCCCCATCTTTCCATCAGGTGGCCGAAGGTACAGGTGGGCTCAAGGAGACCATAAACCACTCCATGAGAGACCACAAACAGCCAGAGGCTGGCAGCCCTGTCTGCGCCTCGTGAGAGATAACACAGAAGAGTGCACTGGATGTATGTCGTAGAGCTGCTGGCCAACTTGGTTTTAGCCCAAGACACTTATTTCCTGTGTATCTTTGGGCATGTTCCTGAGCCTCTTTAACCTGTTTCCACTCGGGAAAATATTGCTATGTGAGTGACCTTGCAGAGTGCCTGTGTGTGCCAGAAGCTAAGAAGAATACCTGTTCTTAGGATGACATCGTGAGCTACTGCAACAGCAGGGAGATTCAAGATTAGGCAGTTGAGAGACCACCCCAAGAATGATTCAGACCCAAGACAGAGGAAATGTGAGATGGTGGAGTACCCTGAGGTCATTGCAAGGTGAAGAGTTCATAAAATCTGCACTGCGATGACCCCAGCAACCCTGAGCTACCACCAGGGAACTCCCAAGCCATCAGATCACACACACTCCCGGGCTCCCACACAGCAGGCTGGTGATGCTGGGCTGAGGGCATCTCACACCCTTACCTTTCCCCCCGTTTCTATCTCAAGGGCCCCCCGCTGCCTTCTTTCCCTCCCCCAGTCTTTGAATACATCACATGGTTGTGTTCTGCGGGATAGGAAAGCAGAAAAAATGAAACATGATCAAAGCTCTGATAAGAAAAGAGGGAGAAAGTCTTCTTTTGAAATTTAGAATTGTTTAAATTAGTGCTAGATCCAGATTTTTGATGGAGGGGATGGTGATAGATCAGATGGCTAAGAAGGCAAGAGGGGGCAAGTTCTCTTTTAAACCTCAGTTTCCTCACCTGTCACACCTCCTGCTGCAATGGCTCTTGTTGGCACCTAGTAAGAGTTTGATAAACAGACCCTGCAATTATTTTTCTCTGATGACCCCTGCTGTCTACCAGCATGCTTATCCATAATTTGCCTGAACAGCCAATTTCTTAAACTCTTTCTTTCTTTTTTTTTCAAAGAAAGTAAGGAAAGAAACAAAATGACCCATGACCATGGTACTATGATTTGAACGTGAACCTTCAAAGTTCATTTAATTCCCAATGTTCACTTTAATTTTTTTTTGTTGTTTTCATTCACTTTCATTATAATTTTTCACTTCAGTTCATCTTACTCCCCAGAGTTGTATGTTAATGTTATTTGGCGGTAGGGCCTTTGGAGATAATGGGGTTAGATGAGATCCTGAGGGTGGGGTCTTCCTGATGGCACTGGTGGCCTTATAAGAAGTTAACCTGAGCTGGCAGGCTTACTCTGGTCACAGGTGATGTCTGCCTGTCACGATGCAACAAGAGGCCTTCATCAGATGCGGGGCTGGGCTCTTAGACTTCCCAACCTCAGGAGCCAGGAGCTATATAACACTTTGTAGATTACCCAGCCTGTGGCACTCGGTTTTAGTGACAGAAAATGGACACAGACACATGATATTCTATAAACAGTATAAGCAGTTCAGAGTCAAGCAAAAATCACCAAGACCTATGGAACATTTGCAGTCAATGTGAGCAGTAGCTTCATTGTCCTAGTACCTTCTAATATATCCCCTTACTCTCTAGGAATACTGGAAACTAACAATTACTCCAGGACACACATTCAGCTCTCTGCATAAACCTATTTGAGTGAATACAACGTTGTTTTCATTTAGCGGACAGAGAAATAGGAGCTGTTTAGAACTCAAGCTCTCAGCCTCTATTTTAGGATTCTGTCCCCATCCACGTGCATTCTGCTGACTGTAGAATGGAGACAACTCTTTCATGATGGAAACAGAGACAGGCAACTTGGTGGTGTAAACAAGCAACGCTAGTCATCCCTATGCCACCCCTTGGTCATAGGTAAATCAGCATCCTGGCCCCCATTTCTTAATTCTTGTAATTTGTGACATGGACCAAATCACACCCCACTGAGCCACAGAGCACGTAACATGATATATGTAAATTATAAACCACTCCATAAACAACGTATGCATGTAAATTGTAAACACTCCTCACATGTAAGACTTGCCGAGTCCTTGGCAAAGAGTGAAACGTGAAAATTGGACATCTTAAGTATCTCAATGAACATTTGCTGAACCCACAAAAAAAATCCACACTTAAAGCAGTGACGCTTCCAAATCTCAAAGTAGGGACCAGGCTGAAGCACTGAGACCTGTGCTGCTCATAGGAGCTGCCTGTGCCCAGCAACAACATTCAGTGCTTGTTAAAATCATAGGCCCCTGGACCTCAACGCACACCTGATAAATCACAGTCTGTCGGTGTGGGGCTTGGGCATCTACCTATGAGTGAGGCCGCTAGGTGACTGGGATATGCACAGTTAGATCTGAGCAGAGTGTATCTCAGACAACCCAATCTAGTATCGTAAATCACAACCACTGCCTTAGGGCCACTGCTGTCAAGTAAGTTATTATCACACCTGCTACAGGCACAAAAATGTCTTGGAGTCTAAATCTGACCCAGTGTGAAAGTGAGACATTGCTACGTCTGTGACTAGACAATATGATTAGGACAAGTGTCTCCTCAGAGGCCCACATGTGGAAGGCATGGTGGCTAGCCTCTGACGCTTCTGAAAGGTGAGGGACCTTTAAGAGGTGGGGCTTAGTTGGGGAGGAGCTAGGCCCCTCAGGTGTGTCTTTGGAAAGATGTTAGCGACGTCAAGCCTTTCCTCTGTCTTTGCTTCCTGCCCGCCACACTGCAAGTAGCTTCCTGTACCACAAGCTCCTGCCATGACACGCTGCCTTACTATAGGCCCAAAGCAACATAGCAAACCGACTGTGTACTGTTCTGAAATCTCCAAAACTGTGAGCCCAAACAAATCTTCCCTTGTTTTAAGTTGATTGTGCCAGATACTACATTATAGTAATGGGAAGCTGGCTAGCACACCAGGGCAGTTGAGGGTGGGGGTCACTCACTATGAGAAGCTGGGCTGAGTTTAACTGAGCAATGGAGGGGAATGGGGGCAGCTAGTGGGAGGCACTGATCTGTGGGGCCTCCACTGTTAGAGCAGCTGCAACTGGCCCTGTAGCTGATGACACATGGCTAAAGATCATTCCAAGAATTAAGTGAGATTATATACAGAAAACACATGGTAAGTGGTCAATTAGCCACTGTGGTCATCATCACTCTCTTCATCATAGCCTCCACGCTTTCAGATTGGGCTATACTCATGCACAGCTGTAGGACTAACTTTTTTTCCCCTTCACGTGTCCACACATTGAGCAAGAGGTCAGAAAAGGGCATTTAAATGTTTTAAAACAGGCCCTTTGATCACTCGTAGAAATGCCTATAGCCAATAGGGAACCTCAGAGGGAAATTGGGGTACTGTTTTGTGCCTTCCAGGCCTCTGCTAACATTGACCCCATCATCAAAGGGATCGTGGTAAACCAACTGCAAACCAAATGAAACTGGTTTCTAAGATGAGAAGTGATTCAGAGTGTATAGCAGCTCATTAAAAAAAAAAAAGCATTTGCTAATGAGTGCAGAAAATGCCAGTAAATGCGAGAGACCTACTCCATTATGACAGTCCCAGAGTCGCTCAAACTCATTGCAGCAGCAAGCAGAGAATAAAAATGTCCAGAGCTGGTTGTTCCCCACGTACAGACGGGATAATCTTGAAGAAACATTTTACGGTGTATCGCTTGAAGAAAAAGTGCATTAGTCTTTCCTGAAAAAACATTTGGTTGACCTTGAAAATAAAAGCATTCATGAGAAGTGCGAGCAGAAGTTTTCATTATTCCTTAAGCCCTCGCTTTGGAGAGACAAAAAATTCCACCCTCCACTGCAGCGCCACAATGCCAAGTTGCCAAGCAACTGATCTTTTATGGTGGATCGCCACGGAGACTGATGTAAACAAAATCATAAATCCCATTACCCTGCTACATACAGGGTCTGGGTTAGAAAGAGAGCAAAAAAGCTGCTTTTCAGGTTAAAGGAGATAATATAGAATGGTGAGTGGCAAGATTTTAGTAAGAGTGAATTGTCATGCGTGAGACTGTAATTAATGTAGCTCTTTTTTTTCTTTCAGCCGATGATGGCCCCTGGTTCTCCTGTATCAAGGAAAGCAGTGCTAGGTGGAAGAGTCACTTCCA